TTGTTTTCATTTGCATCTCTCAAATGACCAGTGATGTTTAATATTTTTTCATATGTTTATTTGCTATTTCTACTTTTTTGTCTGAGAAATGTTTGTTCATTTCAGATGCCCATTTTTGGATTGGGTCTTTAAATTTGAGAGGTCTGATCTGTTTAAGTTCTTTATAGATTCTAGATAGTAGGCCTTTGTCCGAGGAACAGCAGGTGAGAATTTTTCCCACATTGTGGGTTGTCTCTTCACACTGCTGGTGGTTGCTCTTGCCGTGCAGAAGCTTTTTAGTAAGAAGAGATCTCACTTGTTGATTGTGCTAGTTCACGGGCAACTGAGGTTTTGTTCATGAAATCTTTTCCTACACCAATGTCTTCAAGAGTTCTTCCTAAACTCTCTTCCAGCTAGTTTAGTGTTTCTGTTTGTGTGTGTGTGTGTGTGTGTGTGTGTGTGTGGAAAAGTTTATTAATAGCATCCAGCTAACCAAAGATGAAACAAAACAAATTTCACATATAGACTGATGAGCATTTAATCCATTTAAATTTAGAACAATAAACAAAAAGTCTACATAAATATTTTTAGGGCAGAACATAAATTTTAAAACTTGCCATTAAAAATAACATGGGTAATAAAGGACAAAAATTAAGAATGCTGATTTCTATAGTTGGCATAGCCACTAATATTCAACATATATAAAATGGAGAGGGGGATTAAGGACTGTTTCAGCTTCCTAATGTTTTTCTTTTGCAATTCTGGAGAAAACTTAAAATATTTTGTGGTAGAAAAGCTAATGGACATTTTAGCACCACTGTAGGCTTTTTTTTCTAAGATTGAATAAAATTAAATTCAAACTCTTAATAAGTACTGCCTCTAGTATGGGATTCTTATCAAATTGTCTGTCTGTGTATCCATTTTTAAATCTGTACATATACAGAGAAAGGGAAGATAGAGACCATCAATATTAATAATGGTCAGCTTTGGATAGTAGATATTTTTATTTTCTTTGTGGTGTGTTGTTCTGTTTAGCTTAAATTCTTTATAACAAGCATGTATCACTTTTATAAAATAAAGCATATTAAGTCTTAGAAAGAAATTTTTAAAGACACATAAAGAAGGGAATTTTGTACTTTAGAATAATTCTTAAGCTCTTACTGGACTTGTGAAATAGAACAGTTATGGCCAGAAATAAAGTTGAAGCCAGAACATTATATTATCAGGATCACCCTTCCATAACCAAAAATCTACTTTTAAAACAATTGCTAATGAAGAAATGCAAACTACTAAAACTCCCTAGAAACAAACAACCAGTATGGTATTAAAAACAGTACCTTTATTTAAACTGTTAATTTTAATAATTCATTGAATTTTGTCACAGATTAATATCTTTATTCTGTTACTTCACTGGGTGCATTAAGTAACAGTACATAAAATTTCATAAAAAATTAAATAAGAATTAAAAAGTACAGCTAAGAACAGAGTCTTAATCTGTGTGAGAGGATTCAGCATTATGCATTTTTTTCTATTTCATGGGCCTCTCAAGAGCCTCAGACTCATTTTCATTTTAGGAAAGACAAAGCCTGTCCTTTAAGCTCTTGCACCGCAACCTTGTCACAGTATTATCGATTTGACTTGATCCAGTGGTACCTGTCCATGCAGTGGGCAGTGACAGGCCTGTAGCACTTGGGGATCCTATGTGCAGCATGACAGGCAACCCGGTTTCCTAGAACTCCTGCACAACCCTCTGCCACATTCTTTCGGGGGGTGGTGTAGAGCTAAGATGGGCAGAGCCATTTCAAGTTTTCAGCCTGATAGACACTCTTGGGATTGCTTACTTTAGGGATGACCTGAGATTCCATGCTACCACTTTCTTCACCAGAGGACATGCCAGAGGAGAAGTCTAATGAGGCTCTAGTAGCAGCATAACTGATTTGTTGAGTTAACTCCCATTCCTCCTATCTGCCTTTAAAAAAAGCAACTATAAATGGATGGTTTTTTACACCATACCTACAGCACACTTGATAGGGATCTACCCATACAGTCAGCTTTCTTGGAAGTCCCAGGTGAAAATAATTCACTTTACTCTCAGCACAAGCCCTTTTTAAAAAGGGGTCATTATTCTGATTGTTTGTCCTGATACACCTGAAGGCTTGTCCTTTACAAGGGCAACTGGGGTGCCAGTGACCTCTATATGTTTCAAATAAGATTTTCATCAGCTTTTCTGCAAAGCCATCTATTTGCTGTTTATTCAATTTTTCATGTTTTTTCACCAATCTTGTGATGAAGAAAACTGCTGCTGCAATTTCATCTCTCATGATTTAAGAACAATCTATGAGGAGTCCAGCAAAATCTCTCTAGTCCCAAAGAGAAGTAGGCCAGAGTTAGAAGGCTCTTACATTTGATTACAATTTGCACTTATACCTCTAGTGTTTCTGTTTTAATATTAAAATCTTTAATCCATTTAGATTTTAGTTTAGTTCACGGTGAGAGATATAGGTCTAGTTTTAGTCTTTGGCAAGTTGAAACCCAATTTTCCCAGTACCATTTATTAAAGAGGTTATCTTTCTTCCAGTGAGGGTATTTGGCTCCTTTGTCAAAGATGAGGTGGCTGAATGTGTCTGGAGCTCTTTCTGCCTCTTCTAATGTACTCCACTGGTCCTCAGGTCTGTTTCTTTGCCAGTACCATGCTGTTTTTATCACAGTAGCTTTTTAGTAA